AGAATAGGGCTTGTCTAACTGCTCTAAAGGAGTTTAGAGCGCGTAGTAATAGGAAGAAGCTAAAGACGCAGGTGCACACTAAAGAAAGTAAGCTAAGTTAAAGGCAATGTAAGCAGTGCAATTAGACTAGGCATAACTTGTGTATGTGTAAGTAAGTAGCAGAAGTAGACTCTAAATAATATCTTGTGTTGTATTACTCTATATAGGGCTAAAGTAGGCTGTTTTGCGAGAGAATAGGGTGGTTTTAGTGGGGGCTTGGCAAAAGTGGCCGGCCAACCCGTGTGGCCGGCCAACCCGTTAGGTACGTTATTAGTTTCTTATTATCTTTGTTATATACATTTTATAGAACGTCTTAATTCTATTAGTTATAAGAAGATGCGCTTATATAGTCTTTACTATAAGGCTTTAGTGTCTTATGTTCTTTCTTAGTCTTTTAATAGTTGTATTAAGTGCGTTTAAAAAAAGTTATTATAACACTTTTATATTTAACTAATCTTAGAATAAGCTTAAGTAAGATTATGTAGAAGTTCTTACTAAAATTACTTAAGTTAAAGAGTTTTATATTATAGCTAAAAAAAAAAAGAGCTTTAGCTTTATTATAAGTTATAAAGGTTTATATAAAAATAGTTTAACTAAAAAAACTACTTTATCTACTTTAAAATTACTAGGCTAAATATATAAAAAAAACTAATTATTATTAAATAAGCTTAAGGCTTTAAATGCTTAGGTAACTAAGTTGCTAGCTTTATAAAGCTTATTATTAAAATTTTGTTAATCTACATTACTGCTATCTAGTAGTAAGCCTGTATTTACTAGTTTTAATATGCTGTTACTTTTTTAGTTTTCTCTATTTTTTTTAAAAGTAAGCTAATATTTTAAAGACATTTTTTAAGTGCCTAAAACGTTCTTCTATATTTTTACTAGTAAGCTATTTTTTTATTTTACTAAAAATTCTTTTCTATTTCTTTATAAACTTAAGATGTGTTTAATTTTATACTTATTTTCTATTTAATTCTATTCTATAGTTGCTAGTAAAATATTATTAGGTGCTTTTTTAATTTTTAGAATATAAAACTATAAGCGTATTTTTATTATTAGTAGTAGTGCTAAGTAGACATTTACTTCTTTAGTTATAATAACTTTATAAGGGCCTATCTGCTTTTTAGATAGTTTTTATAATAGTTATAAGCATCTTATGTTTTCTATTAAAATATAAGCACTATTACCTAGTTATATATCTAGTAATTCTATTTAATAATAGTTAGCATTCTAAGTTATTCTATTTTACATGTGCTTTGCCTATAATGCTAACTTTTAGTATAGGTTTCTAAGTTACTATATCCTATCTTAGGCTTCTACTAGTGCTGTACTTATAAGTCTTTAGGTCTTAAATCTTAGCAGGTATCTAAAATTAGCTATAAATAGTGTTTTCTTTATTATTACTAATTCTACTATATTAAAAGCTAATTATGCTAAAAGAAGCTAGCTAGCCTAGTTTTCTTATTTAAAAGATATATACTTTTAAAAATATTATTCTAAAGTTTAATTAGTATGTTTAGTTTATCTATCTGTTTATAAGTAATATGCTATAGATAGTCTATAGTCTATTACTATTACTTTTATAACTATTTGCTAAAATTAGCTTATAAAGAGTTTATCTCTATCTAATATAATAATCTTTAAGCATTTATATATAGCTATAATATTTTTTTTGCTTATATAAGAATCTTTTTACTATTATTGTTTTTTAAAGAGCTGTGTATGCATAAACTTTATTATTTTACATTATGCTATAGCTATTATGTTGCATAGTTGTTTAGATCTAGGCTCTCTTAACAAAGAAAGGCCTGTAACAAAATCTATTATAATTATTGTCTATAGCTGTTCTAGTGCTAGTATTGCTTATAATTTCTTATATAGCTTATGTTATATTACGTTGCCTTAGTTACATATATTATATTTTTTTTAAAATTGCTTTATAAATAGTTTTTAGTTCTTTTAGTAGTTAAAAATACACTTTTTTATTCTTTTTATTAAAGCGCCTA